GCCGCCTCTCGTAAGTCGTCATTCCGCGAGAAATTGAAACCGCGAAGTGCAAAACAGCATTATTTCACGCTCTATGAGTCATTAATGTCACACAACGTCTATCTCAATAGGAACTATTTTATCATTGTTGGAAACACCATAATACAACCAGAATAAAGTAATTGGGCTAATGGACAAATTGAATTAGCGTTATCAAGAATAAATGTGAGAAAAGAAGTGTTTATCATCGCGAAACCTTAATTGCCATTCATTTTACATCTCGTGTGACTTCAACTGTTATTTCAGTAGCTACGCACGCACCTGACAAACAATCCTCGATCGTATTAGCCGCGTCTCATGTATTCGTCCGTAATAATAACATAATAATAATACTTTGTTATCATTAATGTATTATAATAATGACGCCAAAATTGCAGATATCGGCGATGAAAACTGCGGGAATATTACGGGCGGAAAGTAGATCGCGAGTATTCCGAGGAAAATCATCCCGACAGAAAAATCTTCCTTCCATTTCATGCCCGCGCCAGAAGGAAATCGTTTTTTCTATACGTTGGCGCAATTTGCCATGTAAATTCGATCGCAACATGATTACACGCCTTGGCAAACTATAACCGAGTCTCACCGCCGCCGCCGCCGCCGCCGCCGTCGGTCGCCGAAGCTAGACGTCGTTCCGTCTTGATCGATCTTGATCGATCTTTCGATACGCATACAGATATAGATCCTGGCCGGAGATCGTGCCAGATGGCCTATGGGACGAGGCCGGGGCCATTATGTGGCCGTCCGAGAATCCGTAATGAAATTAGAAATTAAGAAAGAGAGGGATGAGACTTACGAGCCCGGGCTGAATTTTCCTGGAACTTCTTGGATCATCCTCGTATACGAGGGAGAGCTCCGGTAATCGATAATCTTTTCTTGAAGAAATTGGCGAGGAGAAACGTAGGAAGTCGCGATGATTGGATGATTATTAGTTCAGTTTAATATCGCAGCTCACCGCCGACGCATATTATTTTATAGTTTATCTATCGTGTCTGCGAGTTTCTCCGCCCGTTTCGAAACAGTTCGAAGGAACAAAATTACTTTTACGAACGTTCGCTTCTTATCCACGTTCACAAATAATCCGTAATAACAATTTGAAGCGAAGGGACCGGGCTTCCCAGAGACGAAGGATCGGATAAACCTCGGTTGACTTTGACGCTCTCGCGCTACTGCCACCTTGCGCCGTCTGGTTTAATTATAGGCGCGCGTAAATGTAGGATTATCGAAGCCGGGATGGGAAAAATCGTCGCATGCCGCGAAGCGAAAAGCGTCGGCCGCAAGCGCGCCGCGCAGACGACGGGACGCGTACACAAAGCCCCGGTGCGCACAAAGTCGTCGTACAGGACACATCGCGTGCGCGCGTAGCTCGTGCTCGGTCACCCGTTAAGAAGAAGGAAGCACGAGGGGCCCCGATGTCGAAGATAAGACGGACGACGGTGTCCCCTCGTTCCCCCTCTCCCCCCCCCCCCCTTCCTCTCCGTCATCCTGCGCCCTCGGACACCGTGCTTGTAGTGTTGGAAGTTCGGGGACCGGCGCGCGGGGGCCTCCCTCACGTAATCCACGAGTACGTCGTGACGAATTTGTTCGCCTGCCCAATGAGCCGTAATGCGCCCTCTCTTCCTCCCCCCCTCTCTACGCTCGCCGGGCCCCCGTTCGCCACGTCCTTTCACATCGCGGCCGAAGAAGCCGCGAAACTGGGCCTCCGTGCTCCAAAATGGCTACCGGTCCGCATCGGTGATCACTTCGGGCCCGATTACGTGGCCGTGGAATTAAAAGTTGGATCGGGAAAATTGTGCGGCAACGTTATTGCGCTCATTTATACGTAATTACGGAGCCGCGGGTGCAATTAATGAGAATCGAACGGACTGCGTAAACTGCGCGCCGCCGCAATATTAATATAAATATTAATGATGTAATTTCTGACAAAACAGTTTTCCGCGCGCAAACCGGCGCGGTATTTATCGCCGGGAATTTACACGGCAAACGCGGACGGGGGGAGGAGGGGGCTGGTACACCTCGTGGCATCAATACTTATTGGGAAATATACGCCGGCGGCCGGCGTCACGTAATAGCCGGCGAAGAAAACATTAACAAAATATATACGATACATTAATTTTTGCACGCAATATGAAAACTCTGCGGACGCGGCCAATTAAAAGAGCAAGAAACACGCATCGGCAAAAATATATAAACGTCGAAATGAAAATATTGCGCTTTACACGCGGATTTATTATATCCTTCCCGTTCGCTTCTTATTAATAATTTTTCAACATTTATTGTTAAACTTCTCTTTTATCGTTTCTTTTCTTTTTTTTTTTTTGCAGCTGTCCGAAAACATTCGTATGGAAAAGATTTATTACGCGCGTTTAAGTTTCACCACGGCGGGATAATATTGCGTAAAACAGCGCTGGCCTCCTTGTCACGCACGTGTCCGGTAATCGCGCGGGGGTCATTTGTTACCGCAAATAAAAAGTGTCGAATCCGGCCCGAAAGCGCGATCGCCGATGTGTAATTTGTCCGTCGAATAATGCGATGTTAATAGAATGGTGTATTGGGGTACACCGACCCCATAAATCATTGTTAATTTGGCAGAGCCATTCAATCGCCGTACTCGCCGAGCCTCTCCTTCCTCCTTGTTCTTTTTTTCTTCTTCTTCTCTCGGCCGGCTTCGACTGCTCCTCTTCGTGCCGGCTTCTGTCGGTCGAAGGGATCCGAAACGATCGTAAAACGAGGGCCTTTTCGATGACCGCTGGTGGATGCGGTCGTCTACGAAAATTGCCCCACTATTTTTGGATTCTCCCGCACACGCTCCCGTTCGCCTTTTTGTTTCCGGCTGATTTGTTTTTTTTTTTTTTTTGTTTAAAGATTCAACAAAACTCGGTTTAACGCCGAACCGAAATTTATGGTGTATCTAATATTTTGCGGAAATCTTTAGCGTGGAAATCAATGACACTTGCCGCTTTGCGCGACGATAAGCAGTCGCGTTTTGCGTCACCGTTTAAATTAATGGACTCGTAAGGCGGCAGGTGCGTCATCAAGTAGCGCATAGTAGTCGCTAATGAACGATCCTTAGCGACCCTTGGCGAACCGACAATTTGAGTAACTCTACCTGGCAGACCGAAGGAAGAATTAGGTGCTACAACGGCACAAATTAGACTACTTGACGACCAGCCGCCGCGTCCGGGCCCCGCTTCTTCGTTCCCTCCGCCGGAACTCTTCTCCTTCTTAAGACTCTCTCCTAAATCACATTGTGCGTCGGGAGCCGTAATGAGAGCTTTTCGCCGATCGATAAGTCGGCGGGTGCGAGTCCGACACATTCAACATTGTGCGTCGACTCGCGGTTGAACATGGTGGAAACGGTTATCCCGAATTTTTGCACCATCGACCTGCGGACGTCGAGCGACACGATTGGCGGAATCATCGCGGTACTTTCGTACTGGAAAAAGGTACGAGGCGAGGAGGGGGGAGACGTTGACGAGGAGGATGCAGGGATGGCAAACGCGCGAGGGAAAGAGAAAGAGAGAAAGAGAGAGAGAGAGATAGAGAGAGAGAGAGAGAAGAGAGAGCGTGAGCGTGAGAGTGAGA